AGATGCCCATTACCTGTCTTCTTCCAGTGATGTCTTCTTACATAACTAGAGTGCATTAATTATCAAAACGAGAAGTCAATATAACTGACTAGATATGCATATTAACTCACTTCACCATTTTCTTCATGCGTTCACCTTTTCATGTTTTTATCATTCTGTGGTATTTTCACATGTGTAGAGTCATCTAACAGCCACCACCAAGAGCATGATACAGTTTGATACCTTGCATTTCTGTTATTATGTTCATAGTTTTCTTTATTTGCTTGAATGTATAGAATACATCTACAATACCTTTTAACCTCCTTGTCCACTAATTCTATCATCTGTATCACTGTTGGGGTTTTTTTTTTCCATTTTTATATTTCATCTTGTGGATTGTATTTTCTGCTTCTTTGCATAGCTAGTGTTTTTGACTGGATGCTAGACATTTAATTTTACATTATTTAATACTGATGTTATATTATTTTAAATATTTTGGGCTTTATTTTGGGGTATAATGTTATTTAGAATTGTTTTGATCTTTTTGAGGCTTGGTTTTAAGCTGTGTTAGTGCTAGTCAAGAAAATTCTTCGGTTTAAAGCTCTTCTGGTTTCATTACTGAAGTTTCATTATTTTTTTAACTCTATTCAGTACCCCGTGTTAAAAGGTCTACTCTGGTTGATGGGAGGGGCTTCCCTGGTAGCTCAGAAGGTAAAGAATCCGCCTGCAATGCGGGAGACCTGGGTTTGATCCCTGGGTGTGAAGATCCCCTGGAGAAGGGATAAACTACTCACTCCAGTCTTCTGGCCTGGCGAATTCCATGGACAGAGGAGGCTGGCAGGCTTCAGTCCATTGGGCTGCAAAAAGTCGGACACGACTGAGTGCCTTTAGCTGGTTGGTGGGAACATGCGTTTGAGGGGATTATTCTGACTACTCCTTTTCAGAGACTTTTTCTTCAGACTCAACAGCTTTTTTCACATGCATGCACAGATTTAGCGAAAACATTGAGAAGCTCTCTCTAGACTTTTGGAGCCCTTTGTCTGCAGCTTCCTTCTCTCCATTTGCCCTGGAAATTCTAGCTGTTTTGGTGGCTCCCCTAATTCAACTCTTTTTTTTCCTTAACTCGTAGAGACTCTTGGGGCTCAGATTGGGTTCCAGCCCCTAACCCCGTCCCTGTGTTTCAGCCTCATAACTCTATAGGCAATAAAGCTTACTTCATTTCGTCTTTTCTCTTAATGATCTCTGGCCTGAGATGATGTTCAGTTTCTGAAAATCAATGTTTGATATATTTTTTCCTAGTTTTTTAGTTATTTAAGGTAGAAAGGTAAATACAATCTGTTTTTCTGTCTTGGCATCACTGCCTTATAGAAAACTTCATTTTAGTTTTATAAATATTTGTCTTTTATGACTTTTTAAAATTTATGAGGAAAACAGTGCATGAACTTTAGTAAATTTAGGCACTTAGGGTGCATGTTCTTTCTCATGTTTACTTTCTTTCACATATTCTCTGTCTCACATATCTATTCACACTTTTTTTGTCTATTCACTGTCCTTCCATTCCTAATATGAGCATCAACACAGTCTATTATTGAGCATTTTTATTTAATATAGGATAGTGGTGACAAATGTTAGTTTAATATAAGATCATTTTGACAGATGTTACCTGTTTACCTAGAAGAAAATGGAGTACCTTCATTTCTTTTTTCCTTTGTTTACTAAAAGAAGACAATGATTCTTAGTTATTGTTCAGTATAGAATATTGATTCCTATATTGGTTAGGACATATTCAGGCACACTATTGTCTCATTGTGTTGCAGGAGGGGGGACCCCTTCCAGGGCCCAAGAGTGGGCTCTTGTCTAACACTCAGAAATGAATTGTCCGAGGAGACACATGTGCTGACAAAGCTAGAGACTTTACCGGGAAAGGGGTGTCCAGGTAAGAGCGGCACAGTTAGGGAACCCAGGAGGACTGCTTGTAGTCTTGGCTTTTATCGAAATGGGATTAATTTCAGGGTTGTCTCTGGCCAGTCATTCTGACTCGGGGTCCTTCATGGTGGTACGTGTGTCACTCAGCCAGGGAGGGTTCTGAGAGGTTGATGGGACGTGTGGACTGGGGTCTTCTCTCTCCCAAGTTATTCCAGTTGGTGGTAGCTTGTTAGCTCTGTGTTCCTGACCAAAGCCTCCTGTTGTTAAGTGGATAACTCGCATGTCTGGCCAGGGTGGGTAGTTTCAGTCAGTGGTTCCCCTAACAACTGCACTTCATTTTATTGTGCTTAATTCTATTGTGTTTTTACAAATTGAAGGTTTGTGGTAATGCTGCATCAAACAAGTGTTTGTGTTTTTCCAACATTATCCCATTTTGGAATTCTCAGATTATTTCAGACTTTCTCATTCTTGTATTTGTATCTGTGATCTGTGATCAGTGATCTTTGATGTTACTATATCAAAAAGATGATGACTCACTGGAGGCTCCAGAGATGGTTAATATTTTTTAGCAATAAATTTTTTTTAAAGTTAAGGGATGTACGTTGTTTTTCTTTTAAGACATAATGCTGTTGTACACTTAATAGGCTGCAGTATAGTGTAAACAAATACTTAGGTGCATTGGGGAACCGAAAAATTTGCATGACTTGCTTCACTGTGATATTTACTTTGTTGCTGTGATCTGGAACTGAACCTGCAGTTCTTGGAGGTGTGCCTATAGTGGCTGTTGTTTGAAACCCTAAGCCATGAAATACTTAACGTTACCCACGCTGGGGAAACAAAAGAAACAAGTTTTACTTTTGTACTAATCCATAGTACTCCAAAGTTAGTATTTTTCTCTTGTCTTGTGAATGTACAGATTAAATATTAACTTTTATTTTTAATAATAATATTATTTAGTAGAAAAAGTCCTAATCATCTCTTTTATATGTATAAAGTTATGCTGTTGAAAATGGGATAGCCTTGCCTGACTTTAGATTTCTGACATATCTTTTATTAAACTAGTACAAATGGAAGATAGTGCATCAACTTATTTTTAAACTTATTTAAGAAGGAAAACATGCTTATTTCCTAAGAAAAAACTGAAATTTTTCACTTACTGTTCACTGAATTCAGAGTTGTCATGAACATGTTAATGAGGCAAGTGCTGTTTTAATCTATTAATATTATAAAATACATTGAAATGGAGTTTATGTTGTTTTGGGGATACTTTTCTTCTCATTTTGTGACTGTCATGAACGTTTAAATTGGAGTTGAATGTATGTCACTTAAACTGTTCTTGACCACCCCCCCCCCCAATTCACAAGATCATTTTTCTTTATGAATAATCCAGTTCCTTGCTTGGATTATATTTAAAGCAATAAATATACTTATTCTTTAAAAAACTTTTCTTCTTTGTTACTTTTAAAAGAGATGTTTAATTCCAGTAGTACATATAAATTTGGTAATGCACAGTTACATTTTTGCCATAGAGCCAGGCATCTTTGAAGTATTTTAACAAAACATTTACAATGTAAGATGGTCAAAATTAAGTACCCACTAACTTGTTACCAGACATAAAATGGGAGTTGGAGTATAGGTTTTTACTACACAACTTCTTTTTAAAATGTAAACCTAATAATACTAATCTTAATGTTTTCCTTGAAAAATATTCAGCTCTTCTTACTAGATTGCTTTTTAGGGATAATCCATATGTTTGTGTATATGCATGTTTGTTGGTTTTAATAAAATTGGTTCATATTTCTTATGAATTTAAATTAGATGTTTTTATCATCCTCTTCCAAAGTGAATTTTGTCTGATGTTAACTAATTGCGCTCAATTTGAATATAATTTTTAGTGGTTAGCAACTGTTGTTACTTCTGTACGTATGGTACTCACTCCTTTCCCAGGGGAAATTGAAAGTGAAAGAAGTCGCTCAGTCATGTCCTACTCTTTGCGACCCCATGGATGGTAGCCTTTTCCAGGCAAGAGTAGTGGAGTGGGTTGCCATTTCCTTCTCCAGGGGATCTTCCCAGTCCAGGGCTCGAACCTGGGTGCCCCACATTGCAAGCAGTAAACATTTTACTAAAAGTTAGGTAAAAGTAAAACTTGTGTTTTGAAAATGGCTGTTTGCAAATTCTTTGTAGATACGACTTTTGAATTTTTGGTCTTTCATATTCAATTTACATTTTTGAGTTAGCATCTCTGGCAATTAGTACCTCTGCCTCGGTGATTTTTTTTTTTTTTTAATGTACCTGAGGTCTACAGTGCTTAGTCATTTTTGGACTTGTTTATCTCTAGCCAGGTTAAGAAATAAGCTCTGTTAATTTCTTCCCCTAATGTAAAAAAGCAAATTGTTAGATCATGTGTGAAATTGGAGGGCTGAAGGACTAAGGCATCCAGAAAGATGACATTTGTTGCTACTTTTCATTGGGGTAAATTTTTACGGACTATTGAGTTAGGTTTGCCTCTGTTTACAGTTCTAAGATTATATGATGTATTCACATCCTATGGCATAAGAATAAACCTCATAAACTGAATAAATAGCAGCTATATAAATAAGCATTTGGAGGAGAGGAATTTGAAATTAAATGACTAGATCTGAATTAACTGAACATTTCTGAGACTAACAGGAGAATGTTTATTTAAAAGAAAAAATATGTCAATTCAGGGCTGCATTTATTTGTCCACTTCATTTTTATTCATTGTAACTTTCTTCCTATGTGTGTGGTCTGGCGGACAATTTTAATTGCAAGGGAAAAGGTTTTCATATTTAATAACTTCTGTCTCAAATAAAGTATGTCTGCCAGTCCAGCCCTTCCTAGATGGTTAAGAGGAAGATCAATTAGAATATTAAAAGTACTTTTGGTTTTGTTTTCTATGTATCATATTGGATATTTTTGCTGCTGTTCATATGTTTACATGTTAGTAATTATGACGGCTTTTGGATAATTCCACTCTAGAGGGAGAACTGGTGGGCGGTCCTTCCTGTGACACGACCCTTGAGTGACAGTTCTATTTGATTGCCTCCAGTACTGTGAGGAAAGGACACGACTCTATGGTGAGGACTGATGGACATACATTATCTGAGAAAAGAAACTACCAGGTAAGATCAATTTTTTTCTCTTTTTTTCTATTGGTCACATGAACTGCTTAATATGTTGTATTTAATTGGAATCAGCAGGTTGGATACACCTGAGTTTGAAAAATTGTGGTTATAATTTTAAAAATATGCATGTTGGTTTAGACAGTTGAAATAGTTGAGAACATTTTTCAGACTAAACCATGCTTATAATAAATGTATATTATTACAAATGATGTACATATATTTATATAATAAATATGTATATGTTCTTTTAGTGTCAGAGCATAACTTTCCTGGTGTGTATATATATGTCAAAACTTAGTTTATCTAATACACAATTTATGACTTCATGGCTGGATTCAGAATTAGTGTTCCGTGAAACAAAATGTTGATTGTCTTTACACATGTTATTCCTGTAAAACTAAATCTGAAGTCTTGGACTATATTCAGGGTACTGTAGCATCACAGAGATGTAGACACTACTGGTTAGAGTATAAAAGAAATAGAGATCAGGGTACTCAGACACTCAAATTGTATTGAATTAGCTTATCTATTATCATTAGCTTTCTTTCCTCACAATACTGGATTCTTGCTCTCTCACTTATTTAGGTAGTTAATAATATCCATCCTCTACTAAATGTGTAAGGATGCTGAAAGGATAATTGAAGTGTAATATTCCTCTTTCTTTCTGAGGTTTTAAAAGAGGGTGAATTTTAACAATAGTACTATTAAATAGTGATTTTTTTAAAAACCATAACATTTGAATTTAATTTTTTCAAAGAAAATATGTTTTATTAATTTGCCTATAATTTATTATCAAATTATGTAGTGACTCAGAATAACCAATAGTTCATAACTCAAGTAGGAATAAACTTCAGGCTTCTTTCACAAATACATATCCAACCTCCCTCTGCCCCTTAGCACCAGGTGTTATTCTCTGCAGGCTGTGAAGGCAACTGGTGTGATAGTAGCAGCTTTGTTAACTAACCATTTATCTTCTAATCATTAATTTTAGTCTGGTTAGTCTTTTCTTCCCTTAGATTGGAAAAGTGAACAGTGGAGAAAATTCATGGTGAAATAACAAAGAGCTTTTGAATACAAGACTTAGGTCCTATACATAATGAAAAATAGAGTCATATTTAACCTTTCTAGCATTTGACCCAATTTTGTATCTGAAGTTTCTTGCCAGATTTTTAGCATTTAATAAGCCAGAGGAAGCTGTGCTATGCAGAAGCGGTTCTCTTGCACCCTTTTCTGCTCTGAACTGCTCTTGCAGACGTGGTCAGCCTGGCCTTTGTGCATCACTCACTAGCTGTGACTGCTGCCTCACAGCCGCTTCCAGCTACCTTCACTCATACAAGTTTCCATTGGTTACTCTGCTTGGGTGGTTCTGTATTTTGGTAGATTATGCAAAGTTTTTTTTTTTTTTAAGAATATCATAATTCTAGATTATGTGGCTTTTAGTATTCATAATCCAGTTTGTAAAATGAAAGTATATAAGTTTTGTATCATCACACGGTGTGATTACTTTACTTGATGAAATCATGTTAATGGAGAATTCCAAATTTTACACTTAAGAATAAAAATCAGATTATATTTTATACATGAAGAGATTTCCTAGTTTCTGTTGATTCTGCTAAAAAAAAATTGTTTAGAGTCACACTGTTTGAGTCACATTATTATAAATAATCCAGGCTTTTTAGCTTCTCAGAAAATTCATTTTTAGTTAGGGTTTTTCTGCCTGAAAATATTTTCCCTTTTCTTTTTACTTAGTGACAGTCAATGCATGTTGGAATATTCTTGGAAACAATTGTTTACATTTCTAGTGTAAAATTATTTTATTTTTAAAAGCCTCTTCTGAAAAGTACATGCATAGAAGTATAATTTCTGGTTTGATAATTATGATGATATACTAATTACATATGGGAAATTCAAAGGAATAGTAGATAAATTACTACTGTATTGGTAGCACTTAGAATCTGTATATGTATGCTGAGATGAAATGATTTGGATTTTTAAAAATTCCATGTTTGTGGAATTTTATTTGTTGTTTTTCATGGGTAAAGTAGGATTTCTTTGTATTCGTTTATACCTATTTTAATTTATCTTACTTGTTTTAACTTCTCTTTGATGTCTTTTATTTTTGGAGTGCCGTTGATGTCTGATAGTGATATTTAAGCATTCTGATAATAATAAGCTAATGTTCCAGAATTTAATAAAAAGGGTAATACTTTGCCAATTCTTATTTCGTTGAGAACTTGATTAAAGACTTAGGAACTTATTTGGGAAGATGCATTTCCTCAACTTTGTGGTAAAACTTAGTGACTTTCAAATGGGCGTTGGTTGAAGTATTGATTTTTCTGCTGCTATCTACTTTTTGTGTTTTATTTCTTACTAAAGTTTGAATAGACTATTTGAAATTTATTTTGATGGACAAACTGCTATATTAGTTCAGACAGGACAGCTTAATCATATAAATGGTTTACAGTTTATTCTCAGAAGAATTGTCAAGCTTCTAAGGAAATTTTTGGCTAGAATTTCTTATCTTCCTCTAATTTACACTAATTTATTCCAACTATGAGCACAGATCTAATCATATTAATTACCAGGTTAACTTACCAGTGCCTATTCCCCTTTCTAATACAATAAAGACGAGCTCCTAACCTTACATATAATCTTTGTACATTGTGATCCCACATGCCTTTATTTCCGTTGTCTTCTCTGTTTATAGGGAGTTTTTGCATGAGTAATATAAAACTACTTTTAAATCTCCCTGCAATGCACTTTTACATGTATGCCTTTACTTGTTTGGGTTCCTCTTCATGTGATGCCTTTTCTTCTGTCAGTACTTTCAGAAGCCATTCAAAGTGATGGCCTTTCCCTTGCTTTCATAACCTTTGTACCTATTTCTAGTTTAGTGTATACCATGGCAAACTGAAGTTATGTTTGTTTTTTCCTTGTCTTGGTATAGCCCCATGCTGCCCAATACCATAGGGACTAGCCCCATAAGTGGTATTTAAATTCATGTAAATAAAATAATTTAAATTCGTAGTCATGTCAGCCATGTTACAAATGCTTAATAGTTGCATGCTATTAATGGCCAACATATTGAACAGTGCAGATACAGAGCTTTTCCATTATTGCAGAAAGTTGTATTGGACAGTGTTTCTGTATGTTAAGCTTCTTGAAAACTTGAGCCATATTTATTGATGTTTTGGTATTGCCAGTACCAGATACTTTCAGTTACATAATAGGTGTTCAAAGGCATATTGTTGTAGTAAAATTAAACAAAGAAAGAAGTTACAGAAATTGCACACTGTCCTGAGGGAAATGCTACATATATATATCCAGTATTTTTAGGATATTACTTTTTTTTAATTTGAGCTTACTGATCATGTTATATGTTGGCTAGTTCAATGTATATTATCTATAAACTGGATCTAATGCATCCCAGTCTGTGTGTCCCTTAAGAATACCTCATAATCTAAAATACCACATTAACTTTGTGAAATATATCATGTTGGAAAACAAATGATGGCAGTGATTGTATTGCTGTTTTCTCCTCTCTCCTCCTTCCACTAAATATTTTATTTCCATTTTATCATTTTTTAATTACAGAGCTATAAAACATATAAGTTTGTAATTTTATTGTTAACAATTTAGTGTGTCTTTTTTTTCTAGTAATTATATAAGTGTAGATGTGATGTGTTATTGTTTTTAACAAATACACATATTTCAGCAGCTTATATATTGTACCTAATGTAGATGTTTCCATGCCCAACCCTTCAAATTGCTTCCTTTCCCATAAGTACTTACTAGTTTGAATTTTGTTTCATTCTTTGTGTTTTTATATTTTTGTTACATACATAGTTCAGTATACAGGTGCATCTTTATTCTGTGTCAGTTTTCTAGGAAGTGGTACCCTATATTCTGTACTGTAAAATTCAAAATTTTAGAATTTTGAATAGAAAAAAAATAATAAATTTCCAGCCCACCTCAAACCATAAGCAGTTTCCCAGATGTTGTGAAAACACTCAACACCTATCTGACAGTTCAGATCAGCATTTCAGACACCTGACAAATCTGCGAGGAGAGCCGAGAGGAGCTACTCCATGTTCAAGGTCAGCAGGGGTGGTCGTGAGGAGATAACCCCTCGTCCAAGGTAAGGAGCAGCGGCTGCACTGAAAGAATGAATGGATGGAGGCAAAGCAAAAGCAGTACCCAGTTGTGGATGGTACTGGTGATAGAAGCAAGGTCCAATGCTGTAAAGAGCAATATTGCATAGGAACCTGGAATGTTAGGTCCATGAATCACGGCAAATTGGAAGTGGTCAAACAGCAGATGGCACGAGTGAATGTTGACATTCTAGGAATCAGAGAACTAAAATGGACTGGAATGGGTAAATTTAAGTCAGATGACCATTATATCTGCTACTGTGGGCAAGAATCCCGTAGAAGAAATGGAGTAGCCATCATGGTCAACAAAAGAGTCCAAAAGGCAGTACTTGGATGCGATCTCAAAAACCACAGAATCATCTCTGTTCGTTTCCAAGGCAAACCATTCAGTAGCATGGTAATCCAAGCCTGTGCCCCAACCAGTAACGCTGAAGAAGCTGAAGTTGAATGGTTCTATGAAGACCTACAAGACCTTTTAGAACTAACACCCACAAAAGATGTCCTTTTCATTATAGGAGACTGGAATGCAGAAGTAGGAAGTCAAGAAACACCTGGAGTAACAGGCAAATTTGGCCTTGGAGCACAGAATGAAGCAAGGCAAAGGCTAATAGAGTTTTGCCAGAGAACACACTGGTCATAGCAAACACCCTCTTCCAACAACGCAAGGGAAGATTCTACACATGGACATCACCAGATGGTCAATACTGAAATCATGTTGATTATATTCTTTGCAGCCAAAGATGGAGAAGCTCTATACAGTCAGCAAAAACAAGACCAGGAGCTGACTGTGGCTCAGACCATGAACTCCTATTGCCAAATTCAGACTTAAACTGAAGAAAGTAGGGA